GTCTCGAATCTGCGGGCTCAGGCAATCCACTCACCTCAGCCTCCCAAAGGCGTGGGATTATAGGCTGAGCCACCGAGCCCGGCTCAAAAAAATTTTTTAAACATTAGTTGTACATGGTGATGCGCGCTTGTAATCCCAGCTGCTCAGGAGGCTGAGGCGGGAGGGTTGCTTGAGCCCAGGATTTGGAGGCTGCAATGAATTTTGATCTAGCCACTACACTCCAGCCTAGCAACAGAGGAGACTCCAAGTTAATAATTAAATAGATGGGTTTCTGTAATCCCAACACTTTGGGAGGCCAAGGTGAGAGGTTGCTTGAGCACAGGAGTTTGAGACCAGCCTGGGCAACATAGTGAGACCTCATCTCTACAAAAACTTGCCTAGGTATGGTGACACGCTCCTATAGTCCCAGCTACTTGGGAGGCTGAGGCAGAAGGATTGCTGCACTGCACTGGGTCTCCTTTTTGTTTTTTAAATCAGTAGTTACCTATTCAGCAGTTACTGGGCTCTACCTAATCCTCAAATGTCACCAAGAGACCATAGCAGATGCAGATGTGGGTCCCTCTTCAAGGAACACAGAATCAACTGGGGGTCAAGGAAACAAAATAAGTCATGATAATCAGGCCTAGCTATGGGCTAGATGCCACAGGTCAGTGGTTTGCAGCTTTTTGGAGACCTGAAAGGGAGAACAGGCCTCTCCCTTCTCTGACAATGTAGATATATACACTCACTTCTGCATCCAATTTCAGGGTCCTCAGACCTGAGGTCCACTATGCACCTCTCCGCTACCCCCAGCTGCAAGGTCCCTAAGCCCCTGAAGAATCTGACAGAGGCACAAGTTCACCTTGATCTTTCATAGGACTGTCTGCTCCACTGCCAGAGGCCTTATGGAGAAAATAAATCCTGTTCCAGACTCTGTAGGATGGATAGGTGGGGTGAGTGGACTCCTGAGAAACCAGTCCTTCCCTTCAGGTTGAGGATCAGAGACGAGAATAGTAAGTCTGCCTGCTGCTGTCCCACCTCTGTGTCTATGGCTGGGTAAAAAAGAGCGCTTTACTCAAGACAGCCAGCCCACTGTGTGGACAGAAACAACAGACACGCCAACATGCACTCTGACTCGGAGATGCACACATGAAAACTATGTACACATAACAGACTCTGACGCAGAGGTACATACTGGAAGACACAGACACAAAAATGCAGATGTAAAAGCACAAAGGCAGGCCCGGTTACACCCAGCGAACGAACCTAGGGACCTGAACTCAACGGCTAGAACGCAAAGCCTCACAGCCGCAGAGGCACTAACGCCGGGGGCGGGGCCGGAAGGGGGTGTGGCCTCCCAGGCTGAGGCGGGGTCAAGGGTCAGAAGGCGGAGGCGCGCCCAAGATGGCGGCCTCCATGGGCGACGTGTTCTCCTTTTGCGTGGGCGTGGCAGGCCCGGCCCGTGTCTCCGTGGAAGTCCGTTTCGCGAACAGCGCCAAGGTGAGGCCGGGGCGGACCCCGCCTGGAGCCCCAACCCCGCCCGGCCTCGGAGACAGCCCCGCAGGACCCCATGGTCAGAGCCTAGCGGCTCCTGTGCCGCGCGAACGCTGCGGCGCGGCCCCCCTGCTCGCGCGGCCCGGGGGCTCCCAGCTTGTCTCCGCGCGCAGGCTCTTGGCACGGTCACGCGGTGGACCCAGGCCTCCGGGGTTTCCGTGCGCGTCCCCTTCCAGCGGAGCCCCGCACGCCGGCCGGCTGCCCCGCCGTAGCTGCTCGGGGCGGGGCTGGCAGGCGCCAGGCCTACTGGCCCGGGCTGGGGGCTTTGCTGCGGGGCCCCTGGAGCGGTGGGCGGGGGCGTCCTGGGCCGAGAGGACTAAGTTATGAAGACGGTGGGTCTTCAGGGAACTTTCTGAGTGGGATTTGGGTGGGGGGGGTGAGGAGAGAGGCCGGGAGCCTTTACGAAGGGCCTTGGAGTGCTGAAGAATTTGAACAGCGCCGAGAAGTGGTGGGAACGTTTGAGGGGTTTTTAGCGGGAAGGTGACGTGATTTTTGTGGCTTTTATTATCGTATTTTAAAAGATCATTATAGGAAAAAGTAGAAAACGGATATAAGGAAATAAAAGATGAAAATTAGTCATAATTCTATACTTAGGCAAATATGTGTATCTTAAACTTACAGTTTTAGAAACTGCTTTTTGATGCAGCAGTGCATATACCAGTATCAAACCTACTTCTACATATTAATTTTTTATTTTTTTGAGTTAGAATCTCACTCTATCGCCCAGACTGGAGTGCAGTGGCTCTCTCCCGGCCACCGCAGCCTCGACCTGCTGGGCCCCGGCGATCCTTCCGCCTCAGCCTTCCATGGAGCTGGAACTTCGGGCCTGCGCTACCACGCCCGGCTAATTTTTGATTTATTGTAGAGACGAGGTCTCGCTAAATTGCCCGGGTGGGCGTTGAACCTGCGGGCTCAGGGAATCCACTCGCCTCGGCCTCCCAGAGTGCTGGGATTACAGGCTGAGCCACCGAGCCCGCCCCATATTAATTTTTAAGAGCGGAGTAATAGTCTCTTTCATGGGGGGCGGGGGAGTGGGCAAGGTTCATTCACCCAACCACTTATTAATGGCCCTTTACCGTTGTATTTTATTTTTTCATTTCTGGGTCAGAGGTCTTGGAGTTAATTTCTTTTTTCTGTGCAGACATCGTTTTGTTCTTTCCAGCACTCTTTCCTTTCCTAGCTATTCTGTACCACTTGACATGTGCAGAATGGTATTCTTTGTTCTCATTTACATTTCTGTGGTTACTAATGAAGTTGAATAATTTATCATGTGTATCGGCTGTGTCCATGCCCAAGATGTTAGCCCTTTAGTCATCTGCCATCTGCTCTCAGCATCATCCTATTGATCCAGTTTCCAAACCCAGTATTCCCCTTGCCCTCTTTCCGTCCCAGAGGCATCTAGAGCATTCCTCTTCTCCCCTGAGAAATCAACTTCCCTACATCCTTGGTCTCCTTAGCTACTCATATCTCCATCTCCACCCAGAGCCTCTAGTGCTCCTAGGTGGTCCACAGTGTGAAGGTGTCTCAGTTCCATCACTCCAAGCTTGCAGTGGTGTTCGCCTTTATCTTCATTAGCCCCTAATCTGTCAGCCCCATCCTTTTTTCATTTCTTTCCTCTCACTTCAGTCACTCTCCTCACATAGTTGTCCTATTCCAGCCTTCTATCAAGGCCTCAGCTGATCTCCCCTCCCTGTCTACACCTGATCTGCTGCTGGAGAGCATCACATACCCACCTGGACATGGTAACGAGATGGAGTGTCCTGAGCTTTTTGCATCTGTATTCATCAAGTGAGATGGGTTTGTGATTTTTTTTTTTCCTTTGTGCTATCTTCCTCAAGTTACCATGTGAGGGTTATGCTTTTTTTTTTTTTGGTCAAATGAAGTAGTTTTCCATTTTCTCTGTCCTTAAATAGTTTAACTAGCATGAGGATTATTCATTGAAGGTTTGAAAGAATTGACTCATGAAACCATATAGGCTAGGGGTCTCATGTGAGACTAGTTTTGACTACTGTTATGCCAGGGACACAACCATTCAGAACAGAAGCCTGACCAGGTTCAGCAGACATGAGCTGGAATGTCATATTGGTACACACTAGCCAGATATCAGCATGGCTTATTGTGGGCTTTCTTCCTTTGGCATTCAGTTTTGGTCATTTGTATTTTTCTAGAAAATCATCCAAATAATCAAGAATTTAAAAATTGCATTACTTCGAGTTTTGCACAGTCTTTTCTTAAAACTTCTCTTTTTCAAATTGGAAATACATTTGTTCAATTCCCTCCAAACTTCTTAATATTATGCATTAGAACTGGTTTTCTTGAATTACTTTCATTGGTTTTTGGAATGAGTGACTTTCTAAAGGAACAACTCTGATTCTTTTCCCTTGGTTTTGCTTACTGTTTTCTGCATTTGGTCCTCCAGAAAGAGGGAGAGGGAGGTCTAGAAAGAGGGAGAGGGAGGTCTATATTTATCCATTATTAAAATTTGAAATTGTCATATTGTTCATATTGTTTTGGCCCACAGAGAAAGCTCAAGTTTTCTTTCTTTTTTTTTTTAAAGTGGAGTCTCACTCTGTCGCCCAGGCTGGAGTGCAGTGGCACACTCACAGCCACACCAGCATTGACCTGGTGGGCTCTAGCAATTCTTCTGCCTCAGCCTTCCAAGTACCTGGAACTACAGGTGCACACTACAATGTCCGGGTAATTTTTTAAAAAATTTATTTTTTGTAGAGATGAGGTCTTGCCAAGTTGCCCAGGCTGGTTTCAAACTCACGGGCTCAGGCAGTCCACTTGCCTCTGCCTCCCAAAGTGCTAGGATTACAGGCTGAGCCACGGAATCCGGCCTGGCCAAGTTTTCATTTTGCTAGATTTGGTCCTAGGGACTACAAGGTATGGGGCAGGGGCTTCCAGAAAGCCAGTCATGTGTGTCCAGGGTTTTGCCCTGTGGTTTTGTTTCCCTTATTCCATTCTACTGTTAGATAGAGTTCCCAGAGTTGTTCACAAGGTTGAGATTTGTGGTCACTCTGGGCCTGTACAGGTCTCTACATCCCTGCTGCTCCGGGTTTGGAAGGCATCTGTGTCTGCCCAGAGAACCAGTGCTAGAAGGAAGCAGAGAGTTATCCCAGAGGCCACAGTGACAGGACATTTGGCGGATGTGTCAAGCATTTTTTTCCTCTCCCTTTCTTGTGGAAGCTCAGTGTTGTCAGGGCACTGCCCTTTTTTTTTTCTTCTATTTGTATATGTATGTATGTATGTATTTTTTTTTTTTTTTTTTTGAGTTGGAGTCTCACTCTGTCACCCAGACTGGAGTGCAGTGGCAGCTCCCGGCCACTGCAGCCTTGATCTGCTGGGCTCCGGCAATCCTTCTGCCTCAGCCTTCCAAGCAGCTGGAACTACAGGCATGCGCTACCACGCCCAGCTAATTTTTGATTTATTGTAGAGATGAGGTCCTCACCAAGTTGCCCAGCTGGGTCTCGAACCCGCGGGCTTAGGCAGTCCACTCACCTCAGCCTTCCAAAGCACTGGGATTATAGGCTGAGACACCGAGCCTGGCTGTATGTATGTATTTTGAGTTGGAGTCTCTCTCTGTCGCCTGGCTCATGGCCACTGCAGCTTCGACCTGCTGGGCTCAGGCGATCCTTCTGCCTCAGCCTTCCAAGTAGCTGGAACCATAGGCATGTGCCTCCATGCCTGGCTAATTTGTTTGATTTATTGTAGATACATGGTCTCGCCAAGTTGCCCAGGCTGGTCTTGAACCCCTGGGCTCAGGTAATCCTCTCACTTCTGGCTCCCAAAGTGCTTGGATTACAGGCATAAGCCACCGTGCCTGGCCACTCCTCTTCTTTAAGTGAGTAGTGGGAGTAAGTGCTCAGCAAGTCCAGTAACTGCCTGGGTCCTGAAGCCATCTCCTGAGTCCTTTTGCACAGTTGAGAGATGGCAGTTCAGGGGTTGTTTTCTCATCCTGCGTCTTTTACAGGATGTGTACCATTTGATTAACAAATGGTCAACCAAAGTTTTTTGAGTTGGAGCCTCACTCTCTTGCCCAGGCTGGAGTGCAGTGGCGCGCTCACGCCCACCGCAACCTCGTCCTGCTGGGCTCAGGTGATTCCCTCCGCCTCAGCGTTCCAGGTAGCTGGAATTACAGGCATGTGCCAGCATGCCTGGCTGATTTTTTGATTTTTATTGTAGAGATGAAGTCTCGCCAAGTTGCCCAGGCAGTCCTCTCACCTTGGCCTCCCAAAGTGCTGGGATTATAGGTGTGAGCCACTGTGCCTGGCTGTTTGTTTGTTTTTTGAGTCAGAGTCTCATTCTGTTGCCCAGGCTGGAGTGTACTGGCACCCTCATGGCTACCACAGCCTTGACCTGCTGGGCTCAGGTGATCCTTCTGCCTCAGCCTTCCAAGTAGCTGAAACCACAGGCATGTACCACCATGCCTAGCTAATTTTTCTGACTTAATTGTAGAGACAAGGTCTCACCAAGTTGCTGAGGCTGGTCTCAAACATCTGGGCTCAGGCAATAGTCTTCCCTCAGCCTCCCAAAGTGCTGGGCGGGATTACAGGTGTGAGCCACCATGCCCAGCCATGGTCAACCAGTTTTTATCTGGAAGTTTTGAGAAGGTTGCATCATGATTTGTGGAAGAAACGTCCTGAGTTGTGGCACACAGGTGCCTGGTTCTTCCACTATGACAATGCACTTGCCCACACCATGCTGACTGTTCAGCTTTGACCAAAAATGGCATGACCTCCATGCTCCATCCTCCCTATTTACTCCAACTTGCCCTGAGCGATTTTTTTGTTTGTTTTCCTGGATGAAAAAAGTCCTCAAGGGAAACATCTTGCTGATGTGGAAGAGGCGAAACAAAAAAATGGCAGAAAGCACCAAAAGGCATTAAAATTAACAAGTTCAAAAATTGGTTTGAGCAGTGGAAAAAGAGTCTCGATAGTTGCATTGCATTAAATGGAGAGTACTTTGAAGGTGACTAAAGTTTAAACATGTAAGAATAAATATACAGTTTTAAAATAAATAAATTCTAGTTTTTTGGGGGGTCTCCCCTTGTATAGTGTTTTAGTTCTGTGCTCAAACTTTAACATGCATATGAATCACCTTGGCGTCTTGTTAAAAATGCAAATTGTGATTTAGCAGGTCTGGGTTGGGGTCCAAGGTTTTAGATTTCTTTTTTTATTTTTAGAGTTGGGGTCTCACTCTGTCACCCGGGCTGGAGTGTAGTGGCACACTCACAGCCACCACAGTCTTGACCTGCTGGGCTCAGGTGTTCCTTCCACCTCAACCTTCCAAGTAGCTGGAACCACAGTCACACACCACCATGCTCAGTTAAATTTTTAAAATCTATTTATTGTAGAGATGAGGTCTTGCCAAGTTTCCCAGGCTGGTCTTGAACCCCTGGGCTCAGGCAGTCCTCTCGCCTCAGCCTCTCAAAGTGCTGGGATTACAGGCTTGAGCCACCACGCCCAGCCTAAGATTCTGCATTTCTAACAGAGTCCCAGGTAATGCCCACGCTGCTGGTCCATGCTTCTCACTTGGAGTAGTAAAGAGCCAGAGCTCATGAGTACATTTATCTGTGTTATATCATTGTATCCTGGAAACTACCTGGTAGGTCTTGTCATAATACTCACTTTTCATGTGGGAAAAAAATGAAGCAGGTGACTCAAAGGTTCACAGCAAGTCGACATTAAGACTGATGCTAGAGGCTGAGCATGCTGGCTCATGCTTGTAATCCTAGCACTTTGGAAGGCTGAGGCGAGAGGATTGCTTGAGGCCAGGAGTTTGAGACTAGCATGGGCAATGTAGCAGGACCTCATCTCTACAAAAAATTAAAAAATTGGCCAGGTATGGTGGTGTGCCCCTGTAGTCCTAGCTACTCGAGAGGCTGAGGTGAAAGGATCATTTGAGTCCAAGAGGTTGAGGCTGCACTGAGTCCTGAGCATGCCACTGCACTTCAGCCTGGGCAACAGAATGAGACTCTGACTCAAAAAATAAAAAAAAAGACTGGTGCTAGGATTAGCTCATTTCTTTCAGTGCAGTTCTGAGCTGTGCTAGGCACTGTGCTAGGTACTGTGGGTATCCAGCTGACCGAGGAAGAGGGCATATTCTTTCCCAAACTAGACCTTCCTCTCCCATGATGTAGGATTTCTCTGCAATCCTGAGAGGCAGCACCACTGCCAGGATCCTGGAGGGGCACAGGGATGACTCAGTGAGGGCTGCCCTCCTGTTCCCAGCGTCTGGAACAGGAGGCCACAGCCTGCTGCAAGCCTTGGCCCTGCTCTGGCCATTCAAAAAATTCTCTTCCGAGTAGTCTCAGATGGGTGCTATGGCAGCTCCCTCCCTGTCCTAGTCCTTCTGCTCTGAATGTGCTGAAAGAGATGCAACTGAAGGGAGGTCCAAGGTGATTTTCCAGAGGGGGAGCTATGGAGGATACTGACCACTCTCCATGAACCCTCAGAGGCCTTGGTGAGAGGGAGGCATGTGGGAGTGAGGCTGAACAGCCTCCTGGGTGCTCACAGAGCTATGTCCTCTGTCCTTTATTATGGGCATCCTATTCCTTCTCTGCCCTTTTAGGGAAAGGGGCTGTTCGCCACACAGCTGATCCAGAAGGGGGAGACCATCTTCATGGAACGGCCCTTGGTGGCTGCGCAGTTTCTCTGGAATGCACTGTATCGCTACCGGGGTGAGCACATCTCACCTACTCCTCATAGCTGCTGGGCCCATTTGGCTTTGTGCATGGAAGCAAGCTGCATATATCCCCACTGGCTATGTCTCTGGGGCTCTGGGTGTTGGGAGGAAAAACTATTTCCTTAGAGAACCGTGCCTGAGAACCACGCCTCTGTCTAATCTCAGGGGTCTGGGGCTGTGTGCCTGCTGTCGGAAGCTCTTCCAAAGTGCTCCCTGGGGCAGGACTGTCACTCAGGCAGGACTGAAGAGTCTAGCCCAATAGTTTGGGCTCTGTGCCAAAGTGAAGCCCTCCACCAAGAGGAGGCCACGTGGCCCTTGTTCAAAGAAGGCAGAGTTAGGGGTCAGAAGCATATAGGATGCCCTTAGCTTTGCTGGCTACACGCTTTTTTCCCACCTTTCTTAAGCTAGAGACATGCCATGAAAGAATGGTCAGTTGGCTCCCGAGTGTGAGGAAGGCAAGGAGTACCCACATAATGAGTCTGGTTGAAAAGCAGGGAGAGTCAGATAGGAGAGGCCAGGGGTTCTTGAGAGGGAGGCAGGGAACATCGACTTTTGGATGCATGTGAAATTCATTTGTTCATTCCATTTGTAATGTCATTCATTCACTCACTTCTCAAACTGTTATTGAGCACCTGCTATGTGCCAGGAACCATTCTAGCCCTGGGGGTACTGCTATGAAAAGGACAGATGTTGAGACACTTACACTGTCATGTCTGGCTCTCACCGTCAGCCTGTGACCACTGCCTTCGGGCACTGGAGAAGGCAGAGGAGAATGCCCAGAGGCTGACTGGGAAACCAGGCCAGGTTTTGCCCCACCCAGACCTGTGCAACGTGCGCAAGGACCTCCACCAGAACTGTCCACACTGTCAGGTGAGCATACCAGGGAAGTGTACCTGCAAGGGGGTGGGCGAGGGAGGCCTTAGGAGCAGACAAACCTGGTCATGGTTCTGTTGTCCTCCTGTTCCAGTTCTGTTGTCTAGAAGATGGGCTTGTAGGAACTTGACTTCTTCCTGGGGGCCTAGCAGGGGTTCTCCCCTCTGCCTGAAAAGCTCTCTTCCCTTTCTGTGTTTTTTTTTTTAAGAGACAAGATATCACTCTTGCCCAGGCTGAAGTGCAGTAGCACAATCATAGCTCATCGTAGCCTTGAACTTCTGGGCTCAAGTGATTCTCTGGTCTCAGCCTCCCAAGTAGCTGGAACTACAGGTGTATGCCATCATACCTGGCTAATTTTTAAATTTTTTGTAGAGACAGGGTTTCACTAGTGTGAGACAAGCTGGTCTCCAACTCCTGGCATCAAATGATTCTCCCACCTTGGCTTCCTAAAGCGCTGGTATTACAGGTGTGAGTCACCACACCTGGCCTCTCTGCGGTTTTATAAGCCTAGGTTAGGTGTGCCTTTCACGTGCTCCAGAGCACCCTATGTTTTCAAATCTCATAATACCTCTGAACTACTGCTCAGGGGCTATTTGCAGAAAGAATGCAGTTAGAGGAGGTGAGTACGAAATGGGATGTCTGTGCCTTATCTCCCTCATCCATGGCCAGATCCTAGGGTGCTGACCTCTAACCCGCCTAACAGGTGATGTACTGCAGTGCAGAATGTCGGCTGGCAGCTGCTGAGCAATACCACCAGATCCTGTGCCCAGGCCCCTCCCAGGATGACCCCCTGCATCCTCTCAATAAGCTGCAGGAGGCGTGGAGGTAGGTCTCTTTTCCATTCTTCTTTCCTTCATCCTTCCCTTCATGCTTGACTGCCTGGACTCAGCAGATGTTGCCATCTCTCTTAGTATCCTCTGGATTTTTGTTTTGTTTTTTGAGTTGGAGTTTCACTCTGTCGCCCAGGCTGGAGTGTAGTGTGGCATGCTTACAGCCACTGCAGCCTTGACCTGCTGGGTTCAGGCAATCCTTCTGCCTCAGCCTTTCAAGAAGCTGGAACTACAGGCATGCGCCATCACACCCAGCTAATTTTTCTTGATTTATTGTAGAGATGAGGTCTCGCCATATTGCCCAGGCTGGTTTCAAACCCTTGGGCTTCAGCAATCCTCTCACCTCCATCTCCCAAACTGCTAGGATTATAGGCATGAGCCACCGTGCCTGGCCCGTCCCTTGGATTTTCCTTTCATTCTTAGGGTTAAACAGAGGTCACATCACTCAACCTACAGCCTTTAATCTGGGCTGCCAGTCCTGCTATCCTCAGCATTTTAGACACTCCCCAGAAGAGCCCCATTAAGCCCATAGGGATGTAGAGTCCTGCCCAAGTCCCTGCCTATGACTTTCTCTCTTTGTAGTTGATGGAATTGGTCAGAGGCTTTCTCAGACTGGACTTTCCTGAGCTCAGCTACTGGAGAGGGAATTTCTAGGCCAATTCTTTTTTCTCTTTCCTCAGGAGTGTTCACTACCCCCCTGAAACTGCAAGCATCATGTTGATGGCCCGGATGGTGGCCACAGTGAAGCAGGTGAGCCTATTCAACCCTCTTGGGAAAGCTGACTTTGGCCCATTCACCCTTGGGTGGCCTGGATGGTGGCCACATTGAAGCAGGTGAGCCCATTCAGCCCTCTTGGGGAAGCTGGCTTTGGCCCCATTTGCCCTTTGGTCTCAGTCTTTTCCTTTTCTCAAGGCTCTTGCTCAGATACAGAGTTCTTCCTGGCCTTTCCAAAGGAGAGCTGCTTGGCCTGTAATCCCAGCACTTTGAGAGGCAAAGGTGAGAGGATTGCCTGAGCCTAGGGGTTCAAGACCAGCCTGGGCAACTTGGTGAGACCGCATCTCTACCATAAATCAAAAAATTAACTGGGTGTGGTGGCGCATACCTGTAGTTCCAGCTACTTGGAAGGCTGGGGAGGAAGGAATACCTGAGCCCAGCAGGTTGAGGCTATGTTGGTTGTGAGCATGCTACTGCACTTCAGCCTGGGCAATGGAGTGAGACTCCAATTCAAAAAAAAAAAGGGAGAGCTGCTTGCTATGTAAAACCTTAGGAGTATGCTAAACATAAATCAGGAAGTGGAGGATGAGGGCTTATTTTGCCTGTAGCTTTTTTTTTTTAATTTTAATTTTTTGAGTTGGATTCTCACTCTGTCGCCCAGACTGGAGTGCAGTGGCACGCTCCTAGCCACCGCAGCCTCGAC